GTCCAATGCCTCCTCGACGGACAAAAAAGTCTTCTTTCTGGCTGCCATTGTTACAATGAAGACAAAGAAAACAAATCCTGCTGTTTCGCTGATCGATCTGCCGTTCTCTGCTCTCCTGTCGCCGCGGGACATGCTATGCTATGCTATGCTATGCTATGCTATGCTAAGCTATGCTGCGTAAAAAGAGTGGGCTGTGCGCGTAAACCAGCTATACTGCCTTTACTTATACTTACGCAAGATCCTATCTCTGGAACCCATTGGTCGATTTGGGTGATTGACACCTTTTTTGAATCGTTAGAGCCAATCGAATCGAGTGGCAGTTTCAAAATACGTAAATACGTTACGCCTGCGGAGGGGGAGCTATGCGTAAACTGCATCTCCCGCAGCTGAAGCTGCGGACTGTTAATCGTTGGACCTACTCTTCTGCCGTGAATGAAAGGATTGATTATCAGTAATCATTTTAAAGTGACAAGAGACATTGGATTAACCTTGAGCAGCGTTTGTATTCCTTTGAACACAACTTTTGATCACAAAACAGCCAAGGTAAGACCTAATTATTGTCATGGATTTGTCTGGCTGCTAGCTCGGTTAATGGTGTGCCTGTAGTGATGGGGTGTATACCCATGGAATCAGTGGAATCTCAGCTTTCAGAAAATGTGTTGTTTGTGCAGAAAGTATGAATTATAAATGATCGTTTTTGTGAGTTATGAGCAGAAATAGCAATTGCCCGTTTTTGCCATGGGCTCATTTAGAGGCTTCTTGTGAGACTTATTTTTCGAAAAACATTTTTTTTTCGTATCGTCAGTTAGCCAAGTTTCCTCCGGTCAGATGGGTATGGAATATTAATAGTTTCATGAATGACACTTCAGATATAGTACTGTTGCTACATATATAGCATTTTCGGACCCAAGCTCGGGTCCGTGGGGCTAAGAGGTTAAGTGCCGTTCCAATTCTCCAAATGAAAGGAAAGGAGGTTTCAAACTTCCTTTATAACCTCCTTTAGCTTAGGAACCACTGGACCTCTCTTGACGAAAGGAGAGGAGAAAATGCTGCCCCACAATGCATTGCAGCCGCAGCATTTGCCGTCACTCAACAGTCGGCCGTTCAGGAAAACAACCGATTATGACGGAGAAATGATATCATGAAAGTTACGGTGCTTATTAAGCATTTTAAAACGTATGTGGTAAGTTGCCAAAGTGCTTTGTTTTGAACGTTCATCAGTATTATAATCAAAAAGAGAAATATGAACGTTAGTTTTTACTGAAATGATCAAATAAAGTCAACATTTCACAGTGTTTACTGTGGGGTTTGTTCAACTTTTAAAAGATGTTTGAATGGTGATATACACAGTAATATATGTTAAGGACTAACGTTTATAATAAATACATTTGTATTTATTTTAAGATCTTTTCATAGTTCATACAATCATACTGGGATCATTTGTATAAATGTGGACCGGTGGGAGAGGGTGACGAGCATAAGTTTCACTTTCCTTTTTTATTTAAATTCCAACTTTGGTCATGAAGAATATGTTTCTCTGTTGTCCACGTTCATAAAGCATAAAACAACAGCATCAGAGCACGGTGCAGAGTCTCTAGCAGGCGCGCCGGATTCATTTTAGAAGTGGGGGGGCCAAAAAAAGTGCGTGTGTATGGCCCAATCCCAAACCACGCCCTACACCTACACACACACCCTCCGTGACAGAGTGAACTCCGTGGAGTGACACATGAGGCTCCCTCCTGTCAGATGGAGGGAGTAAATACAGCAGCAAGCTTTGGGACAAACTCCCCTCTCTCTGGCAGAAACAGGAAATGCGTAACTGTATGTAGGCCTAACAACGGTTTCAAATCAGCATCTCTTAGACAAAAAATGTAAATGAATAACTCAAATAAAACTCCAAACATCTTTGGTTACTTTTTTGTAAAGCTCTTTTAGTTTTAAACCTGATATTTATAAGCTTCTTAGTTTTTGCAATAGTCTGTAAATATACACAACTTTATAATAAAATGCACACATTTACCTTTTTCTAGACTAAACACAGGTATGATCCTAAGTTAAAAAAATATGAGGTTATCATGAGGTTGTTAACATCGCAATTTATCACTATCGTTTAGTGGTTTTGCAAAGAATGAACCACTCTCTGTTTTTGTACCATTCTGCGTTGAAGTACCTACCTTCTCTTTGCTCAAATAATCTACTAGCGGTCTCCTTTTTTCCGATAGTTAGCTGTACAGCTTTACCCGCCTCAATGTCCCAACAACAAACCTCCATGCAGTCGGAACCAGCCTGTTTCGGTTCAACGACGGCGGCGGTGGGGGCGGCGGCGGTTTTGACAGTTTCTGCGGCCGCAAAGGTGCTGCTTTTGGGTTCATCTGGCTTCGCTGTTTCTATGATTGATGAAGGTCCAGGCTCCGGATATGTGGATGTCAGGGATGTGACCTTCCAGTTGTTACATTTAAGTTTAGATTGACTGTATTTTAGTTTTCTTCTGCGCTGGTTCTTCTGACATGTTTGCAAGTGTATATATTATTTCTAGGTTAACGGCTGACACACACAGAACAACGTAACAAATAAAGTAAACAACGTAACAAATAAACAAATCTAAGCTTTTTTATTGGTTGTAATTTACATGGATACATTTGAATGGTGTGACAATGTCCTATTTGATTGGGTTAAAATGTACATATTCTTCCTGTTATGTCTGCCTGCTTTATTTTACCTAATGCAAAGTTACCTGCTGCTCCATCGAAATCAGTCGCATTGACCCGAAGACATATTTTGATTCCTAGCTTTCTAATGATATCAGGATTGTTTTTGTACTCCAAATATTAAGCAAAATATGTCACATTATATAATGACTGTTACAGAGTCATCATTTTAAGAAAAAGGCCTTTAAAGTTTTCTCTTCTCTGGAATCCATCATTTCTCATCATCAATCATCATGATTGATTATTAGCGGAGCAAATGATCAAAATACTACGGAGGAAAGATATTTTCGTTTGGATTACTGCACTCACGAGAAACACCGGCTGTTGTTATGGCTGCTGTGACGTTAAGCTACTCCGTTCTCCGCTTGTAATTATGCCGTCACAAGCTTCAAAGTTGTAGGCCTATTTATCATCTGAATTTGCCGAAATAAGTTTAATATTCTGAAACCCAAGACTTTGCTTATTTGAAATCAGATAAAAACAAACTGTAACGGACCCTGCCGTGTTATCTATGATTACTATACACCTTACATTCATAATTTCAGCGGGAGGGAGGGGGGCGGCGCTGAGGAACAGCAGAGTGGCGAGAGCTGTCATCTTCCCTTTACAAGCTTCAAACATGCCTGTAGCTAGTGAGATTGAATCAAAAATAACAAAATATACACAGCTAGATCAGATCACGTTTTAGATGCGAATTTAGAGTAGAGGGGAATTATTGAAACGGGATTTGTAGTTTTCCGCGGCACAGTTTCATGGAAACACATCAGCTTTTGGACGACAGTCAATATGGATTCCGGAAAGATAGATCAACATATGGCACTAATGGAATTAAGTGAGGAAATAGCAAACTGCATGGACAATAAAAAACAAGCAGTGGGAATATTTATAGACTTACAAAAAGCATTTGACACCATCACAATATTTTACTGATAAAACTGGAACGGTATGGCATCAGAGGGGTGGGATTAAACGAGAGATTATTTAAGCAACAGACAACAATTTGTTGAATTTGTTGAAAACATAAAACAAATCCACAGATACAATTGATACTAGATAACATGTCATACACATAGAAAGAGTATATGAAATTAAGTTCCTTGGTGTGGTTTTAGACCACAAAATCAGCTGGAAACCTCATATCACTCATGTAAAAGCAAAACTGGCTAAAATTATCGCAATATTGGGAAAAGCCAGATACATTCTGGACTATAACTCATTGTATACTCTATATAACACATTAATATTGCCATATCTGATTTACTGTGTGGAGATTTGGGGAAACACGTACAAAACCAACCTACAGCCGTTATGCACATTACAAAAAAGGGCTATAAGAGTTATCAATAATGTTGGATATCTTGAACACACTAATGTATTATTTTTGAAGTCACACATATTGAAGTTCATTGATCTGGTTAAATTTAAAACGGCACAAATCATGTACAGAGCCAGACATAATCTACTTCCTAGGAAATTAAAAACATATATAATATAATTTGAGAGGAAAATCTACATTTTAAACAACTCAAGGTCAGAACAACTCTGAGAAGTATGAGTATAACAATCTGTGGGGTGATTTTATGGAATGGTTTGGAGCAGGAGTTAAAACAAAGCACAAGCATAATTCAGTTTAAAAGGATGTACAGAAACACTTTTTTGGAAAAATATGAGAATGAAGAAAGGTGATTGAAGACGACAAATTATTGTATATGTATGTATAAATGTAAATCTAAGTAGGAATAACTTGCATAATGATTTAAAGGACAATCATTTATCAAGTAAGGGGTGGGAATTAATAAGCATTTGCTTCCTCCTACTCCCTTTCGGACACATATGATTTATTATTATTATTAATATGAAGACTTTTTTTTTGTTGAATACAAATATTACCATGAATGTGGATAAATACTGTATTATAACAATACGGTATTCTGTTTTTCACATTTGTTATTTCTTATTTGTTATTTTTGAATCTGTTCGAAATAAAGACAGAAAAAAAAATCTGCTGCTGCGAAAATGTGGGGCAGGGCTGAAAAGTAGGGGGGCCAATGGCCCCCCCGCTTCCGGCGCCCTTGGTCTCTAGATGAGTTTACAGTAGTCCCTCGTTCTTATTAAACATCCATGTTGTAGTCCGCTGTATAGAAAACTGTAGTTTCCATAGTTTCCCCACAGCAGCAGACGCACACAATGACGTCCGCTGGCGCATCATAAACACGTCGGATAGTGAAAGTGCATTCGGATTCTCTAAAGTACCGCAGTCTCTTCTCCTAAATCCTTTTGAATTCTCCTATCCACTATCCCTTAACCCCGTGACGTTTCACTCAGAGGTCAAGGAATAGGAGATAGGGTTACAATTTAGGAGCTAATTTTTTGGATTATTGGAACGCAACCCCGGTTAGACCAGACGTTAGGAGCTGATTCTTGGATTATCCGACCGTAACCCGAGATAAGAAGAAGAATACGCTTTCCGATTGTTGATACCGGAAGTGAAATACATTCATATCCGGTGCTAACTAATGCTAAGAACAGAGAAAGATAGCTTAATTCTTCTTTAAAGCGTATATCACAACCATTTCGGTCACCACGAATGGCATCTCAGATCCCCATCACCGTCCGGGCTCCTCCGGCCGCCGCCAGCCCGGCCGCCCCGCGGGGGAAGAAGCGTCCCGTGAGCCCGGCGGCTGGTTCCGCTCAGCCGGTCCCCGGGAGCAGCAAGAAGAAGAAAGGGCAGCTGACAGCCACACCAGCGGCGACACAGACACAGGTACAGTGCTACCGTCTGCATGTGAAGCGTGCATCATTGTGCGAAACTCAGAGATCTCTGTAACGTTCTCTGTGTGCAAGGGAATTCAAAGTAGCTAAGATGCAATGCAAGGGTTTACAATACTGACAGAGGTGGGAGAAGTACTCAGATCAGAGTTTTAGTGTCACAAGTAAAAGTCCCGCAGATAAAATATAACTCAAGTAAAAGTAAACAAATATTAGCATCAAAATAGACTAAGTACTCATTATGCAGATTAGTCCATTTCAGGATAACATTATGTGTTTATGTGTTTATTATATTTCAAATCATTAATTCAAATCTGCAAAGTAACTAAAGATATTAAATAAATGTGTACAAAGTAGCATACAATGTAAATACTCAGGTAAAGTACAAGTATCACAAAATTGTACTTTGCCAGAATCTACCCAAATGTACCCACCTCTGAATACTGAATTATCTACCGACACTTGATTAAACCTCATGGAAAACAAAGAAAAAAGCAGCATATTTTTTAACGCCAAAGATTTGTTTGTATTGTTTTCTAAAAACTGCCTTTTAAATGGTTGATCAAAGAAAAAAGAGTTGCTGATTAATTCTCTGTTATGTTTACTACTACTGTTTGAACAAGTAATGTTTTTAATAAAAAGATAGCCAAAAAGCAAATATGTACATAAGTGCTGTGTAGTACAAGTATCATAACAGCTAGAAAGCAATGTCATTAAATTGTATCTTTTAAGATTCATGTAAGTGTGTTTAAAAGTTAAAGTTAAAATCAAATATTTGTAATTCTGTGTTGTTACTGTTGTTGTCTGATGTCCTCTTTCATGCTTCATCAGATAACAGCAGCAGAGTCGGTAGCGGAGGTGAAGGCAGTGGGAACAGTTGAAATCGCTCCAAATGTTCTCTCTGAGTCAACAGCGAAGCCTCCACCGTTCAAAGACCCCGCCTTCGTGGTGAGTGTCTGCGTCCATGTGGGTTTAAGTTCATCTGCTGCTGAGGCTCTTCCCTCACTGTCTCTGCCCCCTCTCTTAATCTCTGCAGCATTCTGGGATTGGTGGAGCAGCAGCGGGTAAAAAGAACCGGACCTGGAAAAATCTCAAACAGATTCTGGCGTTGGAGCGGACTTTACCCTGGAAGTTTGATGATCCCAACTGTACGTTTTTATATCTTATAATCAGGGGTGCACATAACTTTTTTGCCCTGGTTCTCAAAGGAGCACCTGGAGATGTTGCTTGGTGCTCATCCTTAAAATGTAACTTTTGAGGGGGTCTTGACTTTATTTGCCAGACACACGCGCTGAACATGCAGAAGTGAACACTGAACACACGTGCAGAGGTGAACACAGAACACACATGCAGAGGTGAACACAGAACACACATGCAGAGGTGAACACAAGACAACATTAGCACGAACAGTAATCCTACAAGACAAGCTGTCATCACTACCCTCCTGACTGTTCTCCTCTCTGTCTTCCTCTCTGTTCTCCTGACTGTTCTCCTGACTGTTCTCCTCACTGTCTTCCTCTCTGTTCTCCTGACTGTTCTCCTGACTGTTCTCCTCACTGTCTTCCTCTCTGTCAGACATGGTAGCTGATGATGTAGGCCTACTACTTTCTCTCTGGTTGAGTCTGCGATTAGCTGCTTGCATCCACAAGTCAACAGCTGGGTTTGGGTCAAAAGTCTCTGTTGTCATATTAGACAAGTGGATGTAATCAAATAAGTATGTGAACATAACCAATAACCTACCATAGCCAATAACAAATGAATGTAACTTATTTTATTTTTGTTGTTCATTCATATCTTATTTTACCTTAACATTTATTTATTTATGCTTTTTTTTTTATCTCTCCAGTTTTAAAGGATATGTCTGGTTTACTGTCCTATAGTATATACATTGGAATGATTTCAAACCTGTTTATCCCAATAATTATAAAGGAGTGCCTTGGAAATATGTGTTTACATAAATTGTGACCAAACTGTTTGAACTTAGACTAAAGTTAACTATCTAAACACTCAGAGTCCTTTACCTCACTGAGCTGTAGTTATCAGCCTCTCAGTCTGACTGGAGAGGACTCTCCTCCACATTATTGTAGAAACATCTTCTTCTTATATCCGTTAAAGCAGCTAGCACCAGATTCTAATAACAACAGCGCTGGTACCGCTGCACCCTCCCTCTCTCCCTCGCTCACTCGCACTTTGGCTGTGAGCTGCGGGCGCCAGATAAGCCAACATCCCCCATTTTCATCACTTACAGCGCCCATCGTACAGGGCAAATGAAACGTGTAACCGGGGTGAAAAGGGTGTTACATTTACTTAATTATGAATATTGTTACATCAAGGCCGAAAATTAGGATGAGCCCCAACGGTCAAAAATGTTTTTTTCCCCTCCCAGAGCTGTCAGCGCAGCGCCTCCCCAGATCTGGTGCCCTAGGCGAACCGCTATAAAGCCAGTGCTACGGGCCGGCCCTGAGTTCATATGCAACTCGCAAATATCTTTCTCTCTCTCCTCTCTTCTCTCTTTTCTCTTCTCTTTTCTCTCTCCCTCTCTCCTCTCTCTCTCTCAATGTTGGTACGCAAATGCGCTTTTTTTCAAATGACCCGGTGCTCTTTTTTTGGCGGAGGTGCGCATGCGCACCAGTTATGTGCAGCCCTGCTTATAATTTCATGTTGCACACTTTTATCAAAAGTACACTACCAGTCAAAAGTTTGGACACATCTTCTCCTTCAAAGTTTTTTATTAACTAGATAATTTCATATGTGTTCTTTCATAGTTTTGATGTCTTCAGTATTAATGTACAACGTAGAACATTAAAATAAACAAAAACCATTGAATGAGAAGGTGTGTCCAAACTTTTGAATGGTACTGTACATGAAACTGAATCTTTTTTGTGGTTGTGAAAAAAAGTCAAAGCTGTGCTATATTATTACATCAATTACAAAACTGCACAGAAAAGTCTACAAGTAATTATACTAACTAATTCATACTAACAATGAACTGCTAACAGAGCACTTATATACTAATAAAGGACTGGCTTATCTAAAGCCAGTTGAGTAGCACTTGAAATGTTTGGCTCTATGAAACCTGATGTACTTATATGATTCCGTTTTCTTCAAGGTTGTGTCTTCCTGGTCGAATGCACTTATTGTAAGTCGCTTTGGATAAAAGCGTCAGCTAAATGCAATGTAATGTAATTAAACGTAAGACCTCTGTGTTCACAGACTACAGCATTGAGGCCCCTCCCTCCTTGAAGCCAACCAAGAAATACTCTGACATATCTGGACTCCCTGTGAGTTATCACTTTACTAAAATACTCACTTTACGATAAACAAAATCACTTTGAAATCTTCTCTGAAGCACACACTGAATACGCTCTCTTTTTCCTCAGGCAAACTACACAGACCCTCAGACAAAGCTCCGCTTCACGTCCTCTGAGGAGTTCTCCTACATCCGCCTCCTCCCCACTGATGTAGTGACCGGATACCTGGCCCTTCGAAAGGCAACATGCATCGTCCCCTGACAGCCGAGCAAGGCTTGAAGAGTGAAAGACATTTTAAACCCGAGCTGAACTCATGTTTGTGTTTGTGCTGTTGGGCCTGCAAGGAACCAATGAGAGTGCTGTCTCCACAGAGAGGACACAGAGAAGGGAACTTCTTAAAAGAACAGCTGGTGCCGCCAAACATTTGCACAGCTGTTTTAGGAAAGGCTTTAAGTTATTATTCAGAGTTACTGTGTGACAAATAAATGCAACAAATAGTATACTTTATTTGAATGTTTATTCTCTTTACGAGACATGTTTGTTGTCTGTAGCTGGATTGGATATCATAATTTCACTCTATGAGAGAATGTATGAAAAGTGTTATCTTTAATGATATTTGTTCCCGATAAGTTTGAAAGCTTGATGTGGATTTTCTCCTGCTAAGTCACATGGAATTACAGGATGCTGTGCGCCCCCTTGTGGTAGAACATTCAGGGGGGTAACAATACAAAAAGCTGTTGGAAGAAGTTTGCCCATTTTAGAATGATTTTTACTTTTTACAAGTAGCTCATTGAATCTTACTTGAATACGTTTGATTTCAGTTTCTCTTTTCATCTGTGTTTTCTGTTTTGTATGAATACATATTTCTAAGTTATACATTTAGAAAAATCTATGTCTGTTCCAATCTCAATGTTGCTTTTATGACAGCCTTTAATGACATTGGTTTGACAATGATATCAAACACTCCTCTGTATTAAGGGCCACATTTGTTTAAAACGCAGTGGCCTGCATCTGTGTAAACTATGAAAATGTAGCAGGCTAAGCCAAACCTCTTAATGAGCCAAGAGTCACCAAGCAGTCCTAATTCACATGCGTCATATGTAAATGTAAATTAGTTCCACATGGTTCTAATTCCCCGGCTGCGTTTGATGGATGATTTGCTCTCCGACTGTTACAGTGATGATGTCTCATTAATCACACATGGCAGGCATCCAGGATAATTTCCATGGTACATTTTACGCTATTTTCACACACTTGATGAATGAGGACCATTGTATTACTCGTAACTCGTGAGCCATCCCTATAATGCTAACGAAGAATAAAAGAGCCGGCACAATTATCGAGGATCACGAGCTTGTGAATATAAACAAGTAAAATCATTCATAACCGCAGCCACTCTTACCACTGAGCTATGAATCCCTTTTTGTTGAAATAGGTTTGATAAATGTGCCATTTTAGTTTACAATTCTTTAGCTTCTGCTATTCTTTTTGATGCATTCTTTACACAGTCCCTGTGAAAACAGATCACCTTGTATCTTTGTTCGAAAAACATCATCTATATTTGTTACCTATACAAAAATGTAATGTGCCATAAGATCCCATTGTTCCCAAAAGCATATATGATTAATTGTGCAGAGGACCAGGCTTTACCCATGCCTGAGTGTTGCTTCTCCCAGCGCTGGACTTAGTTGCAGCTGATGAAGGCAGTATAGTATATCTATGAAAGTCAGAGCAGCATTTCCATTCCTGCTGTGGCATCAAAACCTCAACATAGTGATTAATGAACAGCGCCAGGGCTTTCTGCTACTCAAGCAGATGACCTGCTGGAATGTGTCTGCAAGCATGGCGTGTGTGGGTGTGCGTGTCTGTGTGTGTGCGAGAGAACATTTTCTTTGTTTCCTTCAAAGAAAGTGTACAGTTGTAATATTTAAATTTGTGTTTGTCTCCTGGGCTAAAATCAGGATCAGGTTAGGGTTATGAATGATTCTACGATTAATGGTTACTATTTAACTGTTGTGATATACACATGCCCTGTTTGGATGTCTATGTATGAATGCTAACTGCATACGATTGCCATATTTAGTCTATCAACTACAAAAACATTTATAATGCAGTATATGAGTGGTTTCTCACTCATTACGCAGCAACAACAAATCCTGCACCTGTCTTTTCAGTCCCAATGTGTCACCACCAGGGTGTATCAGAGCTCCACTCAGTCTGCCGTCTACCTAAAATAAGACTTTACAGTTTTTTTCAGTTGCTAACACACTAAAATCTCACCTAAAGCACAATAATGTAAACTCACACTCAAAGAGCAAAACCTGAGCTCAAATCTCCAAAATTCTAAACACATTTTCAGCTCTGCACCCTATTTGCAATTCAACTTGGCACTTTGTGTTGTGTCTCATCAAATGTGTTAGTTATGTATTTTGTCTCTCATTTCCTGTTTTAGTTTGTATTTACCTCTTGTCTTTCATTTCAGGCCCTGTTTCTTCCTCCCCTTGTGTGTTTTTCCCGCCATCATCAGTGTCTGCCCCGCCCCTGATTGTTTCCACCTGTTCCCACTCACCTCATATTTAAATAGTCCTGTCTCTCCCCTGTCCTGTGTCAGTTCGTCTTGTTTGTTTCCGTGGATGGCCGTGCCAAGCTTCAACTAAGAAAGGATCTTTTCCAGTCTAGTCAGGTTTTGTTATTTTGTAAGCTTAAATTAATCTTAAATTCTCCTTTTGTTACACTTGTTTTTTCCTCCTTGAGCACTTTATGTTAAATCCAGTACCTACTATTTTCTGTTTTCTTGGAAATTAAAAATACATTTTTTACTACATTCAAGACTGTCTCTGTGTCGTGCATTTGGTTTGTCCAGTTTGTGTTAAGGTCGTTACACTTTTTGAAAAACACTGCACAAGGTTCTCTAAGTAAGACACAGAAATCTTTGAATGTTTTGATAAGGGTCCCCCTTATATACAAATTTGACTTTTTTGGTAAGGTTCCCCCTTTAAAATTTAACTTTTCTGACAAGGGTCCCCCCTTATGTCCGGAACCAACTTGTTAGATAAAAGTCCCCCCTAATATAAAATAATTATTTTCTAGATAAGGGTCTCTTCTTATATAAAAAGTAAACTTTTTTGTATGTCCTTATGTCCGGAACTAAGTTTTTATATAATGGGGGGGACAACTCTCGTGTCTAAAGCCAACAGGAAGTCGACCATTTTAAATTTAGGGTGTTTAATCTGATCTGCTTCAAATTTGGTCAGTATCATCTTAAAACCACAAGGATCAAAAGTTATCAAAAGCATCAGTAATGATCTCCAACCTGCTTCAAATTTCTTAAGCTTGACCAGAGTCCCTGCCTCTGGAATTGTACGTTAATTATGAGTCATATTATACATAGTGCCACCAGCTGTTAACAGGAAGTCAACCCATGTGACAAACATCCTCTGATTACAGTAATGGTCCATGAGCAGAATTAGAGCAGCAAAGGGGATCAATCAGTAGCAAAAGCACATATAATAAATCGGAAGCTGGTCAAAAGTAAAATATATCAGTTGACAGACTTAACGGTTGAATTCACATGTTCATTATCGCCATGCTGAGCGTAGTCGGTCTCCCAGTCACACAGGGAGTCAGTCAGGTCACATGAGTGTAAACATTTCTGAACAGAATCTTAAAAATATCCACAAAATGTGATCATATTCAATCCTCCGAGCGCAGAGAGCCTCCAGCTTCCATGCATCAGCAGGTGATTGATAAAAACAACCAACCAGTCATAGATCAAGGGAGCGGGCTAAATTACAATATGATTTATAAATATAATGAATACTCCTTTTATATTTTAGCTGACACCCTTTCATAAAAGTAATAAATAATATCTAATAAATACACAAGCACACTGATTTAAACAGGCCCATAATTAAATCATTATGAATTATGACTATGGAAAACAGAAATGAATGTAAGCAATTAAGGACTACAGTTCAATCCTATAATAACCATCATTACATATTGATTGTAGTGTGAAGAAAATCTTCCTTTGATTGATGATGTGGCACCTGCTGCATCTCACAGGATGTGTGTTTTCAGAGTACGCACACACAGACTGCTGCAATCAACAAGCTACTTCTCCGTTAATGTTGTTTGCTATATTTTGCTGAACTTCTGCAGGCGAGTTTCTCCGACTCCTGGGAGATGCACTGTGTAGTAATGTCATCCTGGTGCTCATTTAGTTCCTGTTTGCCCTCGGGTTTTTGTCACTGTCACATTTTAGCAATAATGGAGATGGCATCTGTGGAAGCCTCCAGACAATGATCGTGTATTTTGTTTCACTTCCCAGTACATGCAATTTATTTTCAGAACTGCTTGGACCTACTCACTACATACAGCTACAGCAACATCATTTTTTGTATTTGGTGGACAAGCAGACCATTTGTGAAGCACATTTGACTTTGCTGATGTTAAAGGGGAGCTATCATGCAAAATGCACTTTTTTATTTCTTTCTTTATACATAAATATGTGTCCGTGGTGTGTCAGGGAACTCACAAAGTGTAAGAAAATAAAACCCTCTCTCTTTTCCTCCGTATCTACATATCTAAAAACGGGAGTACAACAGAGCTGATCCAGATTTGCGTCCGATATGACGTAATATCGGAAATGCGGACCCACGGCACTATCAGAAACATTGCTATCAGAAACAATGCCTGACTGTTTTGGACGTAATATGATCTTTGTTTACATTAGCAAGCATCGCTAACACTCAGAGTTAACCTGTACTGGAGAGAGTATGTATAAAAAAGCAGGAAATAATCCTTTCAGAAATAATCCTTGATGTGGTTTGGAACATGATATGGCATTTAATCACGGCAGCATTTAGCTGTATCCCGTAGAATTCGGAGCAGGCACAAGCTCCCCCTCCCCCTTTTTGATTTTCAAGCTAAGGACCCAGATCAACAATTCTATAACAGGGCTTAAATAGAGGGATATGAGGGATGTCTAAAATGCATGATCTGTTTGATATTTTGAGAAAAACACATCATAGACATGTTTTTAATATATTTTTGATATATCTTGTTCTATTTATGTTTTTATTTGTTCTATTTATGTTTTTATGTTTCATGTGGAACTACTTGAGCAGGTCTCCCTTGGAAAAGAGATCAATGATCTCAATGGGATTTATCTGTATAAATAAAGGTTTGAAATGAAATGAAATGAAATCTGAGACCTATAATATATGCCTAAAAATAGCATGATAGGAGACCTTTAAGCGACTAGTTTAGATCCATGACGTCATTGTCCAACATGACTCAGCGTGACATCACATCTAAGGAGAAGTTGTCAATGATGTATGGACATACAAAGACAAGTCCTACAGTTGGGGAACAATTGTTGATAGGAACCATGATGCATTACTCATCTGACATATCTTACTTCCTACAATAAATGAGAGGAATTCACGAGAACTACCCTCAAATGTCAAGTCAGAGAAATGGACTGCACCCCCAGCTCTGGTA